TTCATGGTTCGTTTGCCGTCTGAGGAATAATCTTAGTTTAGAGTTCCAAACGTAAAATAGCCTTAACAAATTTTTCACGGAAAAGAAGATTACTCTATTTATCCCACAAAAATAATTTATCATTATAATTGATAGATATTATTAAACTTAGTACAATCTAGAAATCACAATGTGGTGTGTCAGAATTTGAATCCTAACCTCGTAATTACAATCTCCAGTCACTGATCCGGAAATTGAAATATTAATATCCTAGTTAAACAAGTTTGTTGAACGATGTTTTCATGGCTGGTCATCGCGATTTTCAACACGCCTTGATGGTACAACATTTTAGTACCATACGAAATTTTTTATGGAATGTTCGATCTGGCTAGCATTCGATTGTGCACAAAATAGAAGATTCGAATAAATATCTCTAAGGGCAAAAGAGAAGACGACAAAATAAGAAACCAAAACTGATAGGTAATATACTATTAGATTATCACTATGGAATATATTTCTGGGTTTCAAATTCTTACGTTGAAAATGGTGTTTGAAAGGATCAATTAAATCCGGTTTGACCGATTGATCATAAAAATCCATTGAAACAGTTGTTGTCACGAGGCATAATAGAGGTGCCAATTTCAACCATATTCCTTTTTTCCATTGTAAATGTCGTACAGATTGCAACCGAATCTAAAAATACTTCGGCATTTCAGACCCTTTGGCAATTTATCAACGATATTACATGCAAGTCAACATAAGTTGTGAACTGACATGATTAATTAGGGGTTGTATAAAAGTAATTAGGTTCCACCTCAAAATTAATTGACAATGAGTGAAATAGCTCATGAAGTTTATAAATTGATATTCAGAGTCTCCCAATACCGATGTAGGATTGCGACTCTTTAATACTTCCCCGCAAGCCCAACGTATTTTTTGGGTTGGGCTTGTCCTATTTTTTTAGTCCAGGTACCGCCTCACATCTCAGCCCTATTTCTTTGTGCTGGATTTTTTGGAGTCCGAATGTTGACGGGCTGGCTCTGATATTACATAGAAGCCCATGAGATTCCACCTCAAAATCAATTGGCAATGAGAGGAGTAGCCCATGGAGCTTATATATTGATACTCAGAGTCTCCCAACACCAATGTGGAATTGAGACTCTTTAATACTCCCCCGCAAGCCCAACGTTGGGCTTGTCTTATTTTTTTCGACCCACCGTGTCAGATTCCGGTAGTGGAGTCGACAGAAATCAGCAAATTCTGATGATTGGAAGATGGGGAAAACGGTTAGGGTTCAAGAACCCGAAAGGAATTGGGAATGTCATAACTTTCTGAAGAAATCAATTCAATATCAATACTTTTCATAAATGTCTAAATAGACCATCCAGGCTATATATAGTCCCAGAAGTTACCGAAAATTCAATCGAGTCCCTATACTAACAAAAGAGGACAATTAAGTCCCCTTATTTCAGTCTTGTCCCAAGACTCTTACAGACTAAATTGAACGAATGATATTAGTGGCCTAATGCCTTATTCCCGACACCAGCTAATTCAGAACTATACAAATGGTAACAAATGTAACAAAATACAGCAGAAATGACAAAACAAGAATCCAACTATCACAAGTAAGCAAGAACTTGAGAAATATTCAATTCAGAAACTCCTAACCTTATACAAAACTTGAAACAACAACTCTAACATGTTCTTCCCTGGGACTACTTCAACTGAAAAACAAAACAACAACGAAACTTGACATACATCAATCATGCTTCCAACTAACAGCACCCTTCAGCCATTCCCAGTCTTAAACTCCAAGGTTAAATAATTTACGTCGATCATTTCTCCATCGACGGTCCAAATAACACTGTCAGAGGTCAACTCCTTGGCCATATCTTCACACAACATGAAGTTCACCTGACCTAACTTGCAAACATGCCCGGGTTTGAAATGATCTCCACACTTGTAACAAAGCTGGTTGTTTGATCTATACTGGAATTTCTACGGAGACATCTTCTTTACATACTGATTTCCAAAACCCTTGTTCCCAGTAGACTTCCCCCCAGCAGTATCATTTTTGCCATTCCAAGGTTTATTCTCTTTATCCAGCTGGTTATCATTCTTAGATTTATAACCTATCTTCCCCTCAGAAACTGAACTACCAGCATTTCCTAGCAATTTAAAACCGGATGCAACACAATTTTTGTCTGATCCCTAGAATGATCAACAGGCACATTGACTGACCCCGACTGACCAGAGTCTAACAAACCAATACTAATCAATGCAGCTAGGTTCTTTTCTTCGCAAATCGCAACTTCAAAAGCAGCATCTAAGGTTTTAGGATTCCACATCCTAGCCATAGACTTAATTTCTTCTTTTAAACCACTAAGGAAACATGAAACATAATACTCATCATCAAAATCTTACCCTAAATTCAACAGTCTCGAATGCAATTCTTCAAAACTCTCCTGGTATTCACCAACAGTACTAGTTTGAAATAGCTTACTAAATTCCTCTACACAACTCTACCCTCCTTTACTACCAAACCTACGAGTCAACAATTCAGAGAATTGATTCCAAGAGAGCTTACGAGAACGGTGTTTGATTCCCTGGTACCAAATCTCTACCTTCCTGTCAAGGAAAATCTCCATAGAGTCCCCCATTTTGTCTTCTGGGATTTAGTGAATTAGGAAATATTTCCTTCACTTCTGAAGCCATCTCTGAGGAGAAATGTTGCCGGTATACTCAGGCAGGTCCAGTCTTGGTTGCTGATACCACGTAGGACCAACCGAACCTTGTTGCTGTAAGCAGTGGGTAGAACTTCCGGCGCGTGGCTCAATTCCTTCGTCCACACGCGCAACCTTGTTGGAGTTGACAGGTGCTGACTGAAAATTCTTTTCTGCTGCCGCCTTGTAAGAAATCTTCACTGGATTAGAAGTTTTCTGAGAGTACGGAGTCCTAGTGATCGCTGATGTTGACGGAGAAGCTGATTTCGGCACCAGCGCTTTTTCTGGATTTCGAACTTGCTGTGCTGCAAACATATTGATGAGCTTGTCCAATCTTGCATCTCTCCCCGCATTTCTTGCCTCTCGCTCTGCATTTAACCGGCAATTCTCCACTTCACGCTCTGACATCAGAGCCACCAGTTGATCGAACTTGGAGCCAATCTCCAAAATTCTTGAATCTAGGGTTTCAAGATGAGTGAAATTCGCGACGGCCTGTGAATCCTTAGCAGAATCATCGACCACAGCTTTAGATCTAGCCTTTGATACAAGAGTTATGAAACAAATCGAAGAGGAAAAGAATCAGAAAATCAAAATGATTCAAGAAATGAATCGAACGAAAGGGGAGCTCGACAACTGAGTCGGAAAAGACGGAAGAATCCGTAATAGTGACAATGGATTAATGGAAAAATGAAACAACTGATTCAGAAGTTGAATCCGATGAATCAAGAATCGATTTTCGAAATGAAAATCGGCAAAGAAGAAATTTGTTCGAGACGAATAGAGTGATAGGCAGAAGAGTGGTGAATTTGAATCAACACAGCTAAGAATCGACAACTATGATACCAATTTGTCAGATTCCGGTAGTGGAGTCAACAGAATTCGGCAAAGTCCGATGATCAGAAGATGGGGAAAACGGTTAGAGTTCAAGAACTCGAAAGGAATTGGGAACGTCAGAACTTTCTGAAAAATCAATTCAATATCAATACTTTTCATAAATGTCTAAACAGACCATCTAGGCTATATATAGTCCCAGAAGTTACAAAAAATCCAATCGAGTCCCTATACTAACAAAAGAGGACAATTAAGTCCAGGTTCGTGGCACACCGCCTCACATCTCAACCCTATTTTTTTGTTAGGTTTTTTGAGTCCGAATGTCGGTGGGTTGGCTCTGATAGCATATAAAAGTCCATGAAGTTCCACCTCAAAACCAATTGACAATGAGGGGAGTAGCTCATAGAGCTTATATATTGATACTCAGAGTCTCCCAACACCGATGTGGAATTGAGACTCTTTAATAGTTTTTACATTTGGGGAGTATTATAAAAACAATATTATTATTGCAAGACTTTAATTAGCATTAATTTGGATTTGAACTTGCGGGCAACTCATTTTTATTATAGGAAATAAAACTCTACATCGTAATTTAATTATTATTTCCGCTTAATTAGTTAGTTACCTTCAAGTGTATATATAATTGATTCGTTACATAGATAATAACTGTGGTCCGCTTTTACCACTTGGTTGATTGACATTCAGAAGAAACCAATGGCCGAAATTATGATAACTAACAAGCAAAAGCTATGCAAGAAAAGTATTTCATTTTTTTAATAAGTTGGTAGAAACCTAATCTAATAAAATGTCTCCATTAGATGACAAGTCTTCTTACGAGGACGGTAGGTCATGAGATTCCCCCAATGTTTGCACTGTTTTTTGTCCCCTACAAATGGCATTTTCTGAATTCTTCATCACAACTTTGATTGCAACAAGATGCCTGCATATTCTAAGATACTATGGGCGGAATAATGTTCAGAAAAAATGGAAGACCAAATGTAGATTAATGAGGTTTTTTGTCTTCTCATGTTTTGTCTTACCTGTATCTCATTAGTGAACTTGCTTAGTTACATTAAGTTTTAAGGTTTACACTTGATAAAAATACGATTATTCTGTTATAATAACACACGACTGATACACAATAAGAGAGATAAAAGATCTGATCACGTACATGTACGTACTAATATTATTAGTAAACTAGTGTTTTCTTGGCCTTGAACTACTTCTATTTTTAACAAGACAAAAATAATTAAGATTCCTTTTTCATGTTTTAAGGTCTCTTTCCAGGACATAGGCAAAAAGAAACAACTTGTAGTTTTCTCTAGTCAATGACAAAAAAGCCATCGGAGAATTTTTCATGGATTATTCCAGTCACACCTTTATTTTATCCCATAATGCTCAACCATAAGTTCACCTGCCCTTTAGCATTTCTCTTTCTCTCTTGCTACCTTTCTTTCTTTTCCCATACAGATTTTGACACAAAATTAACTTGCATATGTCTATTCTTGGCATGGAAGATGGAAAAGATGAGGAGTTTTTGAGCCTTGGATTGGCTATTGTTGCTGAATCTTGCAGCCAAAAGAGGCATAAGAGAAAAAGAAGAGATGAAGCAACATTAGTCCAATTGGATTTGAATGAAAGTTGGGAAGGTAAAATATTTAGCCTTCTTCAAATGAGAGAACAAATGATGACTAAACTGGATCATCACAAGAGAGACATCATTACTACTGATCAAGGAGCTGATCATCATAATCACAAGGATATTGGAGGAAAAGGGCTTCAGTTAATTCATTCGTTGCTCATATCCGCAACTTCAGTTGATGAAAATGATATGGATTCAGTAGCTGAGAATCTTTACGATTTGTACCAAAATATATCATTATTTGGAGATTCCCTCCAAAGGGTAGCAGCATATTTTGCAGACGGATTGATTGCTCGGCTTCTTACACGAAAATCGCCTTTTTATGACATGATCATGAAGACTCCCACGCAAGAAGAAGAGTTCTTAGCTTTCACTCACTTTTATAAGGTATCGCCATTCTATCAATTTGCCCATTTCACAGCTAACCAAGCCATCATGGAGACCTTCGAAAATGAGGAACCAAACAATAATCGATTTTTGCACATCATCGATTATGACATTTGTTATGGATTCCAATGGCCTTCTTTAATTCAGTCTCTTTCAGAAATCGCAACAAGCACTAATCGAACTTCTCTGAAAATAACCGGCTATGGAAGAAGCTTGGAGGAATTGCAAGAAACAGAAACAAGATTAGTTGGATTTGCAAAGGGATTTCGCAGCTTGATATTTGAGTTCCAAGGGTTACTAAGAGGATCAAAGATTGGAAATCTTAAGAGAAAGAAGAATGAGACGGTCGTTGTGAATTTAATTTGTCACCTCAATACTTTAAATTCTGTCTCAAAAATTTATGAGACATTGAAAAGTGTACACATGATCAATCCATCAATTGTTGTGATGGTTGAAAAGGAAGGTTGCAAAAGCCCTCACATTTTTTTGTCAAGATTTATGGAATCTTTACACTATTTTGCGGCCATGTTCGATTCATTGGATGATTGTCTTCCTGTTGATAGTGATGAGAGATTGAACATTGAGAAGAATCATCTTGGAAAAGAGATCAAATGTTTGATAAATTATGACAGGGATTGTGTCAATAGTAATACTCCATTAAGATATGAGAGGATGGAAACATGGAAGGCAAGAATGGAGAGCCATGGATTTAGTGCATGCAAATTGAGCTCGAAATCTCTTATCCAAGCTAAATTACTTCTCAAAATCAGAACCCAATACTCTCCAGTTCAGTTTGGTGGTGGAAACGGTGGATTTCGGATCTTTGAAAATGATGAGGGAAATGTTATTTCTTTAGGTTGGCAAGATAGATGCTTGATAACTGCCTCTGCATGGCACTGTGTACAATAGGATATATATTCTTTCGTATCTCATATTTAATTTTATTTTTTTTGCCAAGCAGAATTAATGTACTATTTTTTTTTTTTGTAATATATCAAATGAGAATGACATGGGAAACATTAATTTGTTACCCTCCAATAAGAAAAATTTGTAATTAGGTGGCATTATATTATTCTTCTCTTCTTAATTTCAATCCCTCTCTCTCTCTCTCTCTCTTTTCATGGGCAAGCTGCTTAGTTATGTCTCGTGGCATGAAGTTGAGCTTGTACAGAAGTCAATGAGAAATTATGAAGCGTAGAGGCTTCTTCTAGAGAATGGTCAAATTCAAGATTCAAATATTATTTGTACCAAAAAGAAAATCAGATATTACACTCCGACCGTCTTAAAAAAATAATTCATTTTATTATACTAATTTAGTTCAAGAATGATCTAGTAATAATTTTTATATAACATTTTGACTCAATAATTTGGGTCATTAATTGAACCATTTATTTCATAATAATTGAACCTTAATATATTTCAGTTTTTTGAGGGAGACCTTTGTATCTTTTTCGTCGGTTCGTTAACGTCTCTCACATGGAAGAATGTTCATGTTTTGGGTTTAAGTTAACTAAAATTATTACTCCTTTCTTCCTATTGTTGAGACTAGTATGTGTACCGCGCTTTGTGCGGCTTTGTCAATGTTGAAAATTTATTTTCCAAAAGAATTAATTAGATAATGTAGTTATTAATATTTCTTAAAACCGTAAAATTTTTTTTGATTAATCAATTTTAGATCAAAAGGAGAGGTATTCATATTATTTATGAGATGTATATTTATAAGATCTGGCCAAAAATATTACAACAAAAATTTTGAAAAGTTGTATATTAAAAATTGTCACCACTAACTAATGTTATGTTTGGATTAAAAAATATATTAAAAAATACGTAAATTATGTCTAGATGCCTATGGCTTATTTATAGGCAAGGGGACTTTGGGGATTAGACACAATCAATCGTCCTTGAAAATGTAAAATCGATAAACTGAAGACAAAGTAGCACATAAATAGAATTTTAAGGGCTAAAATGATAATAAGTTAAAAGTGATGCTTGATGGTCTCAATTAGCGACACGTGTCGATTATCTTTCTTTCCTTTAATATATAATGATATTATTCTTAGTTGAGATTTGAATAATACTTTACCTAATCTTTTGGGTTGTTAGTAGAATATCTTATTAGACAATATCATTAGTAGAATCATGGATTGGTATCTTTGTTTCCTACATTTTAGTTATTCAGTTTCTTTGAGAGTCTATTTATATGCCTCAAAATTGTATTCATTTTATATCAAGCGATAAAGTAGTAGACTTTTCATGTTTTATATCTCTCTTTCCCATCTTTTATTTCCAACAAATTGGTATCAGAGCTGGATTTATTCCAGGGAATTGAGATATAGAGTGTGTTTATTTGGTCTTAGAAAGTAAAATATGTGAGTTTTTCTTTTTAATGGCAAGCATTGTGCCTTCTTCGTCTCAGCCCCCCATACCCGTTGTGAAAAGTATGAGCGGTGGAGCATTAAGATGAAGACTTTGCTCAAATCATAGGAGCTCTGGGAATTGGTGGAATATGGATTCATTGACATAATTGAAGCTGATGATGATGAAGAGGAGAAAAGAATGAAGGAGGTCAGGAAGATGGATGCCAAAGCACTGTTCATCCTTCAGCAAGCTGTTCAGGAGACAATTTTCTCACGAATTGCAGCAGCGACAACATCAAAGCAAGCATGGTCAATTCTTCAGAAAGAGTTTCAAGGTAGCTCGAAAGTCATCGTGGTGAGATTGCAATCCTTGATATTCCCCCGCCTTTTTTTGATGAGAATACATGTTTTATTAAAAACAAGAAATCAGGCCAAGAGGTTCGTGTCAGTATGTTTTCAAATAAAACATTTGCACTAGATGTTTCAAACATGGAGAAGAATTTGGCTCTTACTGCAACTTTAAAGAATGACTATGAATTGTGGCATTCAAGGTACAAAAATCTCAATATTAAGGGCTTGAAGTTGCTGAGTGATAAAGGCATGGTTCATTGGCTACCAAGAATTAGTTTCATTGATTTTTGTGAAGGATGCATTTACGGGGAACAAGCTAGAAAATCATTTCCTGTTGGTAAAGCTTGGAGAGCTTCAACATGTTTGGAGTTAATTCATGTTGATTTATGTGGACCGATGCAAACTAAATCCATGGGAGGGAGTAGTTATTTTTTGCTATTTACTGATGATTATAGTTGTATGAGTTGGGTGTATTTTCAGAATAGCAAGTCCGATACTTTCGAAAATTTTCAGAAATTTAAAGCCATGATGGAGAAGCAAAGTGGCTGCTACATCAAAACTCTTCGCACTGATAGAGGTGGTGAGTTTGTGTCAAATGGTTTTAACAAATTTTGTGAGGAGAATGGAATCCATCGGGAGTTGACAACTCCATAACCTCGGAATAGAATGGTGTTGCCAAGAGGAAAAATCGGACAGTAGTAGAGATGGCAAGGAGCATGTTACAGGCAAAGGGTCTCTCTAATCAATTTTGGGCAGAAGTAGTTGCAATTCTGTCTACTTGTTGAATCTTTCACAAACAAAAGCTGTCATGAATAAGACTCCATATGAAGCATGGTGTGGGAGAAGACCATCTGTAAGTCATGTGCGAGTTTTTGGGTGTGTAGCTTATGCTTTGATTAATTGCCAAGCTCGTAAGAAATTGGATGAAAAGTCGGAAAAATGCATTTTCATTGGTTATTGCAATCAGTCCAAAGCATATAGGTTGTATAATCCGTTTGACGGAAAAATTGCAATTAGAAGGGATGTAGTATATGATAAAAATGCTAGCTGGGATTGGAGTGAAAAAGACGCACAACAAGAAATTCCTATGTCCATTGAGATTTCTTCTTATGAAACACAAGGTTCAGCTCTTTCAATTTCACAAGCTGAACTATCTGCAGCATCGGCAAGTTCATCGACTTCAAATGAAGTGCCACCAAGGGGATTCAAGTCTCCCGATGAAATTTATGCTTCCTGCCAATTCGCACTAACTATTGCAGATCTATAAAGTATGAGGATGCTGCTAATAAAGAAGAATGGAAGAAAGCAATGATTGATGAAATGGAGGCAATCCGCAAGAACGAAACATGGGAGATGGTCAATTTACCGGAGGGAAAGAAAGCAATTGGCCTAAAATGGGTGTTCAAGACGAAATTTGCAGTTGATGGACGCATTCAAAAACACAAAGCTCATCTTGTAGCAAACGGGTATGCACAACAATATGGCATTGATTTTGAAGAAACCTTTTCTCCGGTGGCTCGATTCAAAACAGTTCGACTTGTTCTTGTATTGGCCGCGGAGCTGAAATGGCCAGTCTACCAATTTGATGTGAAGTCAGCTTTTCTTAATGGAGAATTATAAGAAGAAGTTTTTGTAATGCAGCCGGAAGGTTTCTTGAAGAAGGGTGAAGAAAATAAGGTCTACAAGTTGAAAAAGGCATTGTACGGATTGAAGCAAGCTCCACGAGCTTGGTATAGCAAGATTGATGGATTTTTTCTTCAGAAAGGATATATGAGAAGTGAGAACGAGCCTACTCTATATGTGAAGAATAGACGTAAAAATGATTTTATCATCGTTTGTCTTTATGTCGATGATATCATTTATGCTAGTTCCTCTAATTTGCTTGTGGATGAATTCAAATCTCAAATGATGAATAAGTTTGAGATGTCCGATATGGGTTTACTACATTATTTCCTTGGTCTTGATGTTTATCAAGCTGAAGATGGAATTTTTGTTTCACAAAGAAAGTATGCAAGTGATTTGCTTGATAAATTTGGCATGCTCAAATGCAAGTCTGTAGCCACACCCATGGTTTTTAATGAGAAATTGTAGTTTGCTGATGGAGCAAAATTGGAAGATTCTTGGAGGTTCAAAAGCTTAGTTGGAGGCCTGATCTATCTGACTCACACTAGACCTGATATTGCATTTTTAGTTAGCATTATTTCTAGGTTCATGCAACAACCTTCAATTGATCATTATGGAGCAGTAAAGCGAGTATTGCAATATATTGTTGGAACCCTTGAGTTTGGAATTTGGTACTCTAAATCTTCAAATTTCAAATTATATGGATTCACAGGTAGTGATTGGGCAAGTTCAGTTGATGATAGGAAGAGTATTTCAGCTAATGTTTTCACTCTAGGCACAGGAATGATTACTTGGAGCTCAAAGAAACAACCAATGGTAGCATTGTCGACTTCGGAAGCTGAGTATGTGGCATCGGCTTCTGTAGCTTGTCAAGCTATTTGGCTTAGAAGGATGTTGGTTCATCTTCAACAAGAGCAAGATGGACCTACGGAGATATTTTGTGACAACAAGTCAACTATTTCCATGACCAGAAATCCAACATTTCATAGCAGAACAAAACACATTTAGTTGCGTCTTATTTCATTCGTGATCTTGTTGCAAATGGAAAAATAGTCTTGCAGTATTGTAGCATCGAAGAGCAACTAGTTGATATATTTACAAAGGCTTTATCAAATGAGAAGTTTTGCTACTTCAGAGGATTATTGGGTGTCTGCAACTATGAATCAAGGGGGAGTGTTGAGATATGGTTCTTAGTTGAGATTTGATTAATATTTTACCTGGTCTTTTGGGTTGTTAGTAGAATATCTTATCAGATATCATTAGTAGAATCATAGATTGATATCTCTGTTTCCTACATTTTAGCTATTTGGTTTGTTTGAGAGTCTATTTATATGGCTCAAAGTTGTAATCATTTTATAACAAGCAATAAAGCAGCAGACTTTTCATGTTCTATATCTCTCTTTCCCATCTTTTATTTTCAACACCTATTTGAAAATTCATTTTTGACACTACAGTATAAAAATATACTACTCCCTCTATCCCCAAAAAAGTAAGCTATAGTGAATTTTGAGATTAATACTGTTTTTAGCTAGTACAAATCTTAAAACTCAACGTGGACTACTATTTTTGTGGGATGTAGTGAATTCTAAATTAGAACGGATAATCAATGTATTGGATGTCAAAATTGCAAAACAACAGTAACACAGGCTTGGAGATTTTCTTACCAAAATGTTAGAAATTATCTCTAATTAAAGATTTGTAGCCTCGGTCACTGCTTCATAGTTCATAGTATTTTGAATACCCGTTGCTAGATTTTTCATTCTAACATTTTTAAAAAAGACCAGCTGGTTTTATAATGCTTACATTAATATTTAGAAATTCTATGAACCTTACTTTTAATGTGTATACACTATCCTTTTAGCTCATGGTCCTACGCTAGAGAGATGTCCATGATGACCTAGATGTCATTTATGAATTAAGGAAATTCGACAATGCCTCTCTCGAAATTCATCTTACCAACAAAAAAGTCCCCAAAACCTTCCGCGGCCTTTCCTAATATTTAGATTATATATTATATGCTGTGAATTGCAAAACCTCCGTGTTAGATTATATGCTGTGAATTGCAATTGAGGTAGTGGAAACCTATAAATCTTAAGTTTAAACAAATAGAATAAGAACCTTAACACAATCGTTAAAATCCATTAATTTGAATGTTTAATCTATGAATACCCGGATCTCAAATCAAAGGTCAACAAAGCTTAAATTAATCTTTTTTTGAGACAAATCTCAATTTTCAATATTCATCGAAAACCCATATAAATGGGAAAAAAACCCTAATCACTAGATAATTGAATTACCAAACTATCCATGAATTAAAACCCTAACTTATTTTTATTTCTTACGCCTCCATCAACTATCGAGTGAACACGTTTCCTTAAATCCATTAAGATTATTAAAAAGGAAAAAAAAAAAGAAGTTTCCCTATACGACGTAACGCGGTAGTGTCCTAGTATTATTGGGGTTAACCTAGTTTAACTAAAAAAATACAACTGTCCAGGTACGTAAATAGTCACAGGTTTTATAAATAAACGCTTAATTTCCTAAGAAGTCATCATAAGAACTCTTTTCCTAGTCTCCGATATTAGCTAGGGCTTGTTCTATATTTTCTGAGTCTATTTTTTGGGATTAATTTACTGAGAAACAATGGCGCCGGCGAGGGCTAGTTCGTCGGAGTACGACTACGTCATGAAAATCCTTCTGATCGGCGATTCCGGCGTGGGAAACAGTAGCCTCCTCGAAAGTTTCTCAGGCGGTGATTCCTCTTCCTCCTCCTGCACAAGTTTCATCACAACCATTGGAATCGATTTCAAGACCCGAACCGTCGAGCTCGACGGGAGACGAGTTAACCTAAAAATATGGGACATAGCTGGTCAAGAAAGGTTCAGAACAATCACTTCCGCGAGCTATTACCGCGGAGCCATGGGGATTGTGTTCGTTTACGACGTCACGGATGAATCGTCTTTCGATGACATTAGGCACTGGATCCGCAACATTGATGAGCAGCATGCTTCTTCGGACAAGGTGTGTAAGATTTTGGTCGGGAATAAGGCGGACGTGGACGAAACCAAAAGGGTTGTCTCGACGGCTCAAGGTCAAGCTCTTGCGGATCAGTACGGTATCGAATTCTTCGAGACGAGCACAAAAACAAATGCCAATGTGGAACAAGTATTCTTTTCAATAGCCAGGGATATTAAGCGAAGGCTCCACTCAGAAGCAATGTCTAAGACGGAGCCTTCAACAACAAAATTTAATCAACAACCGAATCGCGATGTTGGCCAAGGTGAAAAGGTTCCCCAAGCAGCGAATTTTGGATGTTTTAAACGCTTTTTGTCATTCCCCTAATTAATCAACGTTAATTATTCTTCTTTGCACTATCCCATCTCGTCTTTTGTAGTATTTTACTTTGTAGCTATAGCGAGATGGTCAAATGATATTTTTAAAGTCTTTCTATCCCTATTCTTCCTAGTACCAACTTCCTAAATAGTCATGAATCGTACAAAAAGGTGATTTTTGTTACGAGACCAAGAATATTCATTCTTATTTACATATAATGCAAAAATGAATTTGGTTCAAATCGAATCACACTGATTGCGACAATCAAAAATAGATGGAGACTAATCCATATGCAACAGAGAGTTCCTAAGCTGTTTTTTCCTACTTAAATACGACGTTAATAAAGAGGTAAAGAGCATCTTCGTAGAGTAAACACGATTATTAGATAAAAATGGAGTGAATAATGTCAACTCCACCTTGATTCGATTCGGCGCCAACATGACATTTAGTTCGTTTCTCGTTGCTTTGATTCCTAAAAGGAAAAGACGAAAAAGAATGGAGTTATTTTCAAAGAAGAAATTTCGATGCCTTAACTATCTCACTTGCTTGTGAAGTCTAAATTTTGTCACGACTCACGACTCACGAGTTGTTGCACAATTCACCCTTACGTATGCATCTAATTATTCTCATTCTTTGGTCATTTGTTGCAGGCTGAGGAATACTTATTGGGGGACGTCGCTTACGTCCCTAACGTAATATTTCTCGAACTCAGTTTTGTTGGATACACATTGATTGAGGATATTGAAAGAAAAATGTTAAGGCGAAGGTGAATACGATTATGGTTGGGCGCTTTATAGAAAGTTGAGGTGTCATTGTGAAAGCCCATGCAAAATTCTCCGATGGCTTTTTGTCCTTGACACTCGAAAAATACTTACAAGTTTGCTTCCTTTCGCCTATGTCATAAGGGAATCTTAATTGTTGTGTTCCTAATTGTTCAAGATCAAGAAAAAATTACTTCTGTTTTTTTTGAAAGGTAAAAATTACTTCTGTTATATCTCATATTCTGTCCTAAAATAATAGCCAAATTTTTATTTTCACTTTTATCACAATTCGAATTAAAAAAATGTTAAACTGGGGGAAACATGTGATCACATCCTCGGTTTCACTTATTAATGTGTATTAAAGATGTCTTCTTGATAAACCGCTATCCTTTAATTTCCTTATGAAAACCTCCCCATAATGACACCAGTTTTATTAATGGAGTATTGACACAAATAAGAGGAGACAAAGGATCAAATTTATCTATATTGGTTCTTCCCATGAGTTTTTTGACCTTTTTTTTTTGTTTTTTCCTCTTTTGTGTGTGATAATATGCAGGCATTTTGTTGCAATTTATCCCAAGTTACGATGAAAAATGCACAAGATACCGTTTGTACTGGTCAAAAACAAAAGTGCAAACATTGTAGATATGATGACCTATCGTCCCTCCAAATTAATAAACCTGTCTTTTTGTGGGGACATTTTAATGTTCCTATTGGATTTGATTTTCAAAACAACTGAAAAAAGAAAAAGAAAAATCCTTTTCCTTGCATATATAGCTTTCCGTCGTTTAATTAGCTTGCGTAATTTCGGCTGCTTTCTTCTCTAAAGTTATGATTGTTACAAGAAAAGAAAAACGTCCATAATCATTTATGGGGGAATGGAATAATTCCGGTTTTTGTTGTTCGATTGACGAGTTTTAAATTGGCAGGAATGGATCGATATCTAATTATTTAAGAATCTTCTAAACCCACCAGAGGGTCAGTTTTTTATCTGATTCCTGTTTTTGTAACATATTTTTTTTGTTTGCTCATGTTATTATATTATGTATAACGTTATGATTATATCATACAAATAAAATTTTTCTTTATTATAAACTCAAGTTTTTATTTGAAATTTTTGATTCAAAACAAACATCATTAAATGAAAATCTCAATTGATTATTATATGATTTAAATTGATATGAAAATATAGAATTTGTTTACTGCATTAAGAGTTGTTGGGACTCAATCATATTAATTTTATTTTGTAAAAAATTAAAATCATAATATAAAGTATTCAAATTGATTTAATAAAAAGATTTATACCTAACCGCATAGTAAAACCATGAACAAACCAAATGCCCCTAAACTCCTTATTATATTATGTCTTTGAGGGAAACGGTTTTAGACAATGTTTTTCTTAAATCTTCGGGATTAAGAAAGTCACCGTATTCTTATCCTAGTACGCATAGGTTTAGTTTTGCTATTACTACTGGGATTAGCCTAATCTAGTTGTATTTATAAATATATAACCGGGATAAGTACTCACAGCTAATTGACATATAAAACACCTTTTTTTGAGTCTAAAGAAGTTACTATATTGTAATTGTATTTTTAATATACATAGGATGATACTGTTATTATTGATAGAGGTTGTATAGGATTAGATAGGATCCTTTACGTGTATATTTTTTGTGTTCTTTCCTGTATAAGTAATGTTATTATTGATAGAGGTTGTATAGGATTAGATAGGATCCTTTACGTGTATATCTTTTGTGTTCTTTCCTGTATAAGTAATCTTGATTACAAGTAATAAAATCAGAAAACCCATTTTCACATATTTCTTTATGGTACTAGAGCCGAGGTTTTTTTTTTCTTCTACAAACCCTAGATTTTTAGGGCTCGGCCGCCAGTTTGTTTTTTTTTTTTTCACCCTCGTTCTCCATTTTTTTTTTTCTCTTTTCTCCTTCTTTCGCAGCTAGTCATGACGGGTGAACAAACCTCATCAGCCATTGATTCTCGATCTCCTTATTATGTGCATCCGTCTGATCACTCTGGCCTGCTTTTTGTCACGCAGCCTCTCACTGAGAATGGTGACAATTTTTTCACGTGGAGAAGTACCTTCTTGAATGCCCTCCAGTCCAAGAACAAGGCTGGGATCGTGGATGGTTCCCTTGAACAACCCGACGTCGATTCTGGTGATTCCCGCTATTGGATTCAACGTAATGCCTTGATCAAATCATGGCTTATCAATTCCGTCTACAAGGAATTGCAGACTGCTGCTGCTCACGCTGCCACCGCCAGGGAGATTTGGTTGGATTTTAATGATCGATTCACGCAAGGCATCGCTCCCCGAGTTTATGAACTCAAACGCTCTATTGCTCTTCTATAGCAAGAGCGTTCCCTCACTCCGACGTACTACGAGAAGATGAAGAGCGTTTGGAGTGAATTGCAGAACTTGCGTCCCTTTCCGATCTGTGATTGTGGTGGCTGTTCCTGTGATGTCAACCAAAAGCTTCAGACCTTGCAGGAAGAAGAGAAGCTTCACGATTTTCTCATGGGCTTGGATGATACATACAAGACCATCCGTTCTCAAATTCTGAGTTTGGATCCTTTGCCATCTCTTGGACGTGCGTATGCTGTTGTTGCCCAGGACGAAAAGCAGCGCCAGATTTCTGCTGCCCGGCTTCCGATGATCGAAGCGGCGACGCTGGCTGCCAAGGCTCCTGGTCGTCGTGATGAACGCGATCTTCGGGATGGCCGGCCAAAGCTTCATTGCAGCCACTGTCAGAAGGCTAACTATACTAAAGACAATTGATTTGAATTGATTGGTTATCCACCCAACTGGCGGCAACCGAGACAGCAGCGACGTGATCAGTCCGGCAACCGGCCGCGTTCTTCCATGCCGACAACTTTTGCAGCAGCTTCTGAACCATCTGCTGCACCACCACTGGCGGCCCTCAACCCTGCCCAGCTACAGTAGCTCTTTGCCATGCTTGGTCAGCAGGTTCCTTCCAATCGTCAGCCGGCTGCGAATCAGATTTCTGCTCCTCCTGCTTCTGGTAAGGCAGATGACTGGGCTTGTGATTCTGGTGCAACCGATCACGCCTCCCATAACGTCCATTCCCTGATCAATCCTTCCATTCCTCCTGGTTCTTTATTTGTTAAAATTCCTAATGGAGATCGAGTTCCTGTCGAAGCAATTGGTCATATCAAACTTGATCAAAACCTGACCCTTTATAATGTTTTGGGCATGCCAAATTTTCATTTTAATTTGATCTCTGTTAGTCGTTTAACCCGGGATTTGAATTGCTTTTTCACATTTGGCCCCGATTTGTTTTGTATCCAGGACTTAGCCTCGAGGAAGCTGATTGAAATGGATAGAGAGTGCGATGGCTTATCTTACTTGGAGCCCATGCCGGCAACGCCGAATTCTCTCTGTCAGTAAAAGCATCACGACTACTTTGTGGCACCATCGTTTGGGACACTTGCCAGTCAACAGGCTTTCTCTATCGTTTACCATTTCCAGTACATTTGAATAAATCTGTGAACACTTTTGATTTGGTTCATTGTGATATTTGGGGTCCATATTCTACGTAGTCTAATTCTGGGGCACATTATTTTCTTACTCTTGTTGATGATCATAGAAGAACCACATGGATTTTTCTTATGCGCTCTAAATCAGAAACTAAGCATTATTTGATGTTGCTTTTCAATTGGGTATCTACTCAATTTAATGCCAAAATTAAAGTTTTTCGTACCGACAATGGTCTTGAGTTTAATCATGCCTCCTTGTTAACTCATTTTTTTGATCATGGCATTAAAAAACAAACTAGTTGTCCCCATACTCCTCAACAAAATGGTTTCGTTGAACGTAAACATAGGCATCTTTTAGAAGTAGCCCGAGCCCTGTGTTTTCAAGCAAATTTGCCGATTCGTTTTTGGGGTGAATGCGTTCTCACTGCTGCTTATCTCATAAATCGGATGCCTTTATCTGTTTTGCACAATAAAACACCATATGAAGTCTTATTTGGGACCTCACCCTCTTATGATCATCTGCGTAGCTTTGGTTGCCTTTGTTATGCTCATGTCCCTAGTAAGTCTCGGGATAAATTTGCTTATCGGGGACAACCCGGTGTCTTTGTTGGATATCCCCAGGGTCAAAAGGGATATCGTATTTATGACTTAGAGCGAAAAATTATATACACCTCTAGAGATATCAAATTTTTTGAAGAGATTTTTCCTTTTTTTGAAGGATCTTCATCCCCACATTCCATCACTCCTCCTGAAGTTCTTGATGTTATTCGTCAGGCAGCAGTGGACCCTATTCCTATTCCCACACAAGATAATGATTCAGCTCCTGCCACTAGTTCCCCTGAACTTGTGTCTTCCTCCTCTCATCGATCATCACCCCCTGTGCCTGATAGTTCCTCCGTGCTTCCTCCTTCCTCTCCGGTTAAACGATCTCGTCAGGTTTCCCGGAAACTTTCAGGCTATGACTATGCCCTTCCACCTTCTCTATTACCTGATAATCCATCATCGTCATCACCATCTCCAACAGCTGACTCAACGGTACACCCGCTCTCTCAAAACTTGTGCTATAAACGCTTTTCTAAAGCTCATTTTTCTCTTTTAGCGGCCATCTCTTCTGAAGATTAGCCGACTTGTTTTTCTCAAGCAGTCAAGCATGCACATTGGAGAGATGCCATGGCTAAAGAAATTTCTGCCTTGGAAGCCAACCACACTTGACTCTTGTTCCTTTACCACCTGGCAAGCGAGCCATTGATTCCAAATGGGTGTACAAGGTCAAATTTAATCCGGATGGTAGTGTTGAGCACTACAAAGCCCGCCTTGTTGCTAAGGGCTACACTCAAGTTGAAGGTATCGATTTTCATGAGACTTTTGCACCGGTGGCCAAATTGGAGACTGTTCGGTGTTTACTTGCTGTTGCTTCGGTACGTCATTGGGAGTTACATCAACTCGACGTTACGAACGCATTTTTACATGGTGATCTCCAGGAGGAAGTCTATATGAAAATTCCTCAAGGATTTGCTCGAAAGGGGGCGCAACGTGTCTGTCGCCTTCAGAAATCTCTTTATGGTTTGCGCCAGGCTTCTCGAAACTGGTATCATAAGTTTACCACTTCTCTTATTTCAGCTGGTTTCATAGAGTCCTCTTCTGATTCCTCCTTGTTCATTTAACATCGTGGCACTTGTTTCATTGCTGTCTTAATTTATGTTGATGATATCATTGTGGCCGGCAATGATTCTATTTGGATCGGCAAGCTCAAAGCATATATCTTCACAATCAATTCCACATTAAAGATCTTGGTCCTCTCAAATATTTTTTGGGCATTGAGGTCGCCCGATCTCCTTCTAGAATTGCCCTTAGTCAACGCAAATACACGCTTGACATTCTTGCCGAGTGTGGTCTTACTGGTTGTTGCCCAGTTTCTACACCGATGGAACAGCAACATCGTCTTGCTTCTGACACTGGGGAACTTTTTGATGATCCTAGCCGCTATTGCCGCATTGTTGGCCATCTTCTTTACTTGACGATAACTCGTCCTGATATCAGCTATGCAGTTCACATCCTCAATCAGTTTATGCATAAGCCACGACAACCACACTTTGATGCTGCAATCCGGGTTTTGCACTATCTGAAGAATGCACCAGGCCAGGGTATTTTTCTTCCCTCCACCAACTCTTTAGAGTTGCGTGCTTATTCTGATGCTGATTGGGCAGGATGTCCTACCACTCGTCGTTCTACCACAGGTTTCATTGTAGTTTTGGGCTCTTCCCCAGTTTCCTAGCAATCCAAGAAGCAATTTGTGGTTTCCCGATCTACCGCCAAAGTGGAATATCGGGCTATGGCTACAACTACTAGTGAATTGGCCTGGTTAGTTCGTTTGTTTTCCGAGTTACAAGTGCCTCATTCTCATCCGATTCCCCTTTACTGTGATAATCAAGCAGCTATCCATATAGCTACTAATCCGGTTTTTCATGAGCGTACTAAACACATTGAGATTGATTGCCATTTTGTTCGACATCATACTCAGTCCAAGCTATTGGTGCCTCATGACATTGCTTCTGCTTCCCAATTGGCTGACTTCTTCACCAAAGCTTTGTCTCGCAATCAATTCCATACGTTCCTGTGTAAGTTGGGCATTTTGAATCTTCATGCTCCAACTTAAGGGGGAATAAAGAAGTTACTATATTGTAATTGTATTTTTACTATACATAGGATGATACTGTTATTATTGATAGAGGTTGTATAGGATTAGATAGGATCCTTTGCGTGTATATCTTTTGTGTTCTTTCTTGTATAAGTAATCTTGATCACCAGTAATGAAATCAGAAAAACCATTTTCACATATTTCTTTAGAGTTTCTTGATCTCTTTTCCTTTTGTTAATTGGCAACGAAAAAGGTGAGCTTTTTTAGACTGATTTATTGAACACAATGGCCGCAACTTCAAACTACGACCTCAACTACGACCACGTCATGAAGCTTGCTCTCGTCAGCGACAGCGGCGTGGGAAAGAGTTGCCTCCTCGTACGTTTCTCCGATGGCTCCTTCACCACAAATTTCATCCAAACCGTCGGAATCGATTTCAAGGTCAAACCCATTTAGGTTGACGGCAAACGGGTCAAGCTCCGGATATGGGATACCGCGGATCAAGAGAGGTTCAGATCCATCACGAGCGCGTATTACCGTGGAGTCGACGGAATCCTACTAGTTTACGACGTTACGAGCGAATCATCTTTCAACAATGTTCTGAACTGGATCCGGACCATCGAACAGAACGAGGGTTCCGACAAGGTTAATAAGGTTTTGGTCGGGAATAAAGCGGATGTGGACGAAAGACAAAGGGCTGTCTCAACGGCTCAAGGCCAAGCCCTAGCGGAGGAGTACGGTATCAAATTCTTTAAGACGAGCGCGAAAACAAATGTCAATGTGGAACAAATGTTCTTTTCGATAGCTAGGGATATTAAGCGAAGGCTCCATCCGGAACCCAACTCTAGGGTTGAGCGTTCAGTGTTCGAGGACCAACCAGTTGCTCCAATATCTGCGTGTTGCGGCTTTTGAGTGGGCAGGTGTGTTTGGGAAGTGTAATTGTTATTATTTTTACATTCTTTGAGAATAGATCTTATTTTAGCGTTTGTAAGATTGATTTCTTAGAATTCATTATTAAAAACTAACAATTACATGTGTGACATCTTTCCTTTTTTTTTTTTTTGATATAATGAATGAGGCAAATGCCTGGGACTATTAGATAATACAAAGGCTGGTGATATCGCCAACGCAAATTTTACCCTCCAGAGCAAAATTTACTTTTGTTTCTAAAATTACCCTTTTTCAGGTCAAAGAATAATGCTCTCCCACAATCCCTCTTCATCCGTTGTTATTGCAATATATGGAGGAAAAAAAAGGACAAACGATTAATTACGGGACTAGAGTGACGCCTTTGTCCCAATTTTCTCCAAAGAATTTTCATTAATTTTTCATTCCAATGTTAGAGTCAAATTCAAGACTTCAATTAAGCAACAAAAGCTTTTTTTAAAAAAGAACAAAAAAAATGATAAAAGATTTCAGCTCCAATCAGAATTAGTTTTCTATCAAAACTAGTTTTATTCAATTTATTATTTCTTTTAAAGTTCTTAATCAACTCGAACAGACAGAATCCGATTCGTCTATTTCTGAAAGGGGGCTTTCCTTGAAGTATAGGGCATATAAGAAGTTTAATTACAAAGCAAAGGTGGGTTTTGGAGTACAAAACCACTAGGAATGTGAATCACAATATTGTTATCCAAGAATTTTGCCTTGAAATCTACATAACTATCATAAGATTGTAATTACTTCTGCATTCAATGGAGAAAAGATTGAAAGTAAAGTAAAGAAGGTTTTTATACACAACACAAATTGATTTTTTATCCCAGTTAGACATAAGAGATGCCAAGCAACAGTTTAATCTTGATCACATACTACATAAATTTTCCAAACCCAATTATAATGCCACCAGTTAGGAAAACAAAGAGTTCCGATCATAAATTGATAACACCCTTTTTAAAAAAACATAAATAAATTGATAACACAGGAGGGAGGGAAAGCTGACGAAGGGGGACCAAAAGGAAAGGTGTGACAGATAATTTTTGCTAACCACGATTAAGGAGTAATAATTAAAGGGAGAGATAAAAGGGGGGAAAAATCTTTGACTTTTACTAAGGGCAATCATGGAAACAAAAGCTAAATTTGCTCTGGAAGCTAAAAATTGCGTTGGCAATATTGCCAGCCTAATACAAAACATTGGTACAGTATACCGACTAAATCATGTTGTAACCATGAATTTACAGCATCCGACGGTTCATCTAACTTCAACAATCCTCCAGAGCTACAATTGACATTCTATGAGAAAAGATCTTATTTTTTGGTCCTATACTCCTATATTTATATCAACTTCATAATTACCATTCCTGTATCCGAAATTATTCTCAAATACAAGTAAAAATGTGAGAATAGAGAATGAGAAATAGTTACTCATGACCACAAGACCAAATAGTACTCCTTTTGTCTAAAAATCATTGTGTATTTGATTTTCACTTTTAATTAGTTTGTACTTAAAATGAAAATATAAACTTGAGAATAATTTCGGAAGAAATAATATAAGCAAAACTGACGTTGATAACATACAAACCCACCAAGTCTCTCACTACTCCTTGGTCAGCCACTTGACATTTCCATAAAATGTTTAGTTATGATATTAATGTTTTATTTGGGCGGCCAAGCCTTAAATAGTGAATGATTATTGATCCTAAGCACACAACTTAAAAATAGTACTCCTCACGAAATTATTGTCCAATTTAATACTATAATGTCAAGCTTCTAATTTGTACATGCGTCAAGAAAAAGAAAATTGTAATTTTTTCCCTAATTGACTATTCACTTACGCCGGTAGACGGAAACATATATGATCATTCTGAATCTCTAAAGAACTAAGTTGAGGTAACATATTACAAATTATTATAATTGTTGCCAACTAAAATACTTAATGAGTAATTGTTGCGCATTCACTTGCAAATGTAAATCTGATTTGTAAAAGTGGACCATGCATATTGTATACTAGACAAAATATGGTTTGCATTTAAGGTCTTAATTTCAATAACTACCGTTTTGTAGGTTGAAATTTTCAGAGATTATAATAAATACAAAATACATTTCATTATAAATATTTGTCAATATTGACATCTATATATAATATATTAAAAATACAAATTGATTGTGCAACACACGAATATGGGACCTCTTTAAAATAATTGGTTGTAGTTTCAAAGATTTAATATAATTGGTTGTAAGGTTATAATAAAAACTTGCCATAGAACAAGTATTATTAAATTTTAATAATAATCAAATTGACAATTAATTTAGGAAACATAGCAGATCTTAGATTGACAATTACAGAATTAAACCTGCCATATTTACTTATTCTTGCTAATGTCTCTTGATTTTCTTATTCAAGCTAAAACCATCACATATCCTCCACCAAAATAACCTGATTTATGAACTGCCTTATTTTTATTTTCGTTTTCTCCTCTTACAATCGTCCACCGCCAAATACAAAGATTTCTCTATCTCTCACAACAAATATATATACCAAAAAACTCTTTTCTAATACACGATTAAATAGCGGGGAGAGTGCACGATAAAAAATCACTTCGTAAATCTAAAAAGTCAATTAAAAAGAATAAATATCACATTCATATGCACTATTACGTAACAACAAAAATTTGACCAAACATGAAGTATATAAAAATTCTAAAACTATCAAAAAGAAACAATCTATATATGTACTGGTCGCGCAACGCGCGACACGTAAAAGACTAGTACTTAAATAAAAAGCACAGTACACAAGAATTAATGCCCAAAAAATATTCAGAGACCACCGCCAAATCAATCTCGTCCATCGGATGGGCTAGATATGATGTCAGCTACTTATTAGGGGTAAAAACGAGATTTCAAAAATTCAGTTCACAATAAAAAAAAAAATCCGTAAGCTATTGGGAAAAAATCCCAAACACCAAAACAAAATATATATAATCTGAAATATTTTGTTAAAAATACCCAGACAAAAATACATAAACCGTTCCTTCTCTTCTGTCGCTCTAGCTTCGCCTCTTCCACCAATTTCTCAAGTCTCCACCATCGTCGATTTTTGGCTAAATCATTGGTGCGGTTTTGGCATGGTGTCTGTTTGGTTTCTCATCAAGGGTGAAAGATCCGGTTGTAATTTATGTTTTTTGAATTTACCGATTCCCGGAGTTGAATTTGCAAGAAGAAGAAGGTTTCGAATATTTGATTCTCCTTCCCCATCATCCTTATCAGTTAATACAGGTCTTTCTTTTGCCTCTTTCCTGGCAGCCATGAATCCCATCTCATCAGCTTAATCCCCACCATGCTTAGTCTTAATCATCGTCACAATTGGCTACTACCGATTGCTACACCGGGAAGCTTACAGATTGCAATTGATGAGTTCAATTTCAATATTTTCCACTTTGCTTGATTCAGGCACCATTATTGCTTCTTTTGTTTATATGTACAGATTTCCTTAGTCCCTCTAAATTATCAATTTTTTTGTATTGATCATTCTTCGGGTTGTAATCAAACCCCATTCCTGGTTATAGCACAAAGATTAATATGTTTGATGTGATCCTTTTGTGCTAAATAATATTTAAAGTATTGGTATTGATTTTTGCCAAATCCCCTTCTACGATTTTTCCAGAAATTAACTTATCCCTAAAGTATTATGATTAGGAAATTCATTTTACTTTCGATGAATATTGACTTGCAATGCAATTGGGGGCATCAAATTTGTGCATGAATTAGTATTAGAAATCTGATTACCTATTCCCTTATTTGTCTTAGGATTAGGAATTTATCTAAAAATACTAATGACCGGAGCAGACTCATATCACTTTGAGCAGTAATACGTGAGAATTTGGGTAGCAACATGCCGTTCTTTCCCCTCGTCGACGTCCACTTTGCCGGAGACTTCACCGTCTCTGCCTTGTCGCCAGGGCCACCTTCGCGGTTGTACCAAAGCCCCCAATTTTAGTCCTCCGGAGATTTAGACATTGGAATCAAAATTTGAGCAGAAAATCTCGTCCAATTATCTGGCAGGGAGTCCTTTTGGCGTCGTCCACGATTTAATTTCACAAACTGGACTCTTCGAGACGAATAAATTGAGGGATGCAATTCAACAATCTCAGGATGGATTGAATCAAGTTTGAAAGAAAAACACTTTTCAATGGATAGTACATAGAAATCCATATCCTGATACGTTTTGGATTGAGTTTTCAGGCTAGCCAGCCCGATCAACTTGAGGGAAGAAGCTACTTTGGAATCCCTTATTGCTTGGAATAATATGCTGACAATTGAAGACCATTACTATGCGTTGTTCCCTATGAGTTCTTCTAGCACTTCATATTTGAGCTTAAATCCTTTGGTGAACAGAGTTTGAGCTACTGTTTCATATATCTTCTTTTCAGTGAATAATTTTCTTCCTGTAGATTTCAAACAACTTGTAGCTGCTTATTTCTGGCCTTTTCTTGATCAATTGAGTGACATTGAATCTTTAAATCCCTTGGCTCATGTCCCAGAGCCTCTTTTATATTAGTCAGGAAAAAGTAGTCTTTTAAAACTTGTAAGAACCTCTTTTAGCTTCCAAGTTACATAAAATTATAATAAAAAAGGTAGAAACAGTACCACATTATGGTCTGATAATGGGAAAAGGGTTCTCCTGAAATCCCTGCGAATGTTCTGAATTCTATCTTGATGCTATTCTCCTTGAATAACCCACTCGGAGTTGAATTTTAGTCATTTACACGAAATTATCTCAAGAAGATCATGATCTCTCCTTTTGTTCCTTTCTTCAACAGTATCACCCTTCAAATGTTTATGACTTCACTTGGTGAATATTTTTTTGGTTTCATCATTTATTCCCTTTAATTCCTAGATGGTAGCTATGAATTTATTTAATTCTCTACTTTCTAAAAATTCTGTAGTTTTTTTTTGTTTTGCCATTGATTGACCTG